GGGGGGGGGGCAAAAAAAAATTTAAGGAGGGCAAAAAAATTTTTTACTCTCTTATAAATTTTTTTTTTTATTTTCTCCTATAAATTTTTTTTTTTTCTTTTTTGAGGGGGGGGGCAATTGCCCCCCCTAAGCCCAGTACAATTCCGCCCTTGGAGGTAGATGATGGTGTGATCTGAGGTTGATAAATACCTTTGATTGAATCCATATACGTGATTCTTAAATTTGGTACACTACGGGAAAACCCGTTAATACCGGCGGATAAAATCCGCCGCTACTAAAAGATATTCGTCGGAATCATGGGTTTTCGGCGCCCTTTCCGGCGGAATTCCATGCGCCGGTTTGGCTCGCATCGATAAATGTTGTCCGGAGCATATAATGCGCCGAAAACATTTCTAGCGCACTTTCCGACACATTACCGGGGCAAAAAATGATGGCAGCCGGCGACTTTTCGACCTATAATTCCGGCTTCATCGGCGTCGGTAATTTGCATCGTAAGAGTCCACCGGTATTTACCGACGGAAAGAACGCCGTTAGTACGCCGTAAATAACCTGCGGGAATGTTTACGGCGCAAAATATGCGTCGGACAACGCCGGCGAATTCGACGCCGGAAAAGGCGCCGGGAATTTCTTATAAAAGAAAACTGAAGACTAACATAAGGGCTAGTACTCGACAAGATGATTCAACAAAGGTGGCACTTGTCTTTCATATATATTTGATGAGCATACTTGATGAATGAAGTATGCTTAGGTTTGAAAAATGAATATGAGAAAGATGTGCCTTCCAAAATTTACCTCGGAACATATTCAGTTAAAACTCCCTCGCTGAATAAGAAAAGCGGCGGGGAGGCCGGGGCCGAATTTTCGGAGCCCACAGTAAGAAAAATATTTGGATGAGCAAATATTTTTATCATGCATTTATTTTTGAATATTCGAATTTTTTGTATGATTGTAAACATAGATGGATCTCATCAAATCACATACACTCTCTTACGTTCTCTTTATATGCTATTTTTTCGTCCTCCATGTCATTATTTCTCTTGTCATGCATATTTTTCAATGTATGGCATCATAAATGGGCAAACTTTGGAGGTGAGGGGAAAAATTGGGAGCAAGGGCATATAAAAGAAATGGGAAAATGGTGATTGAAGGATTCAATGCCAAGAATTTTAGTGCTAAAAGATGTAGGATGAGGATTACTTATATTAAAGAAAGTTTTGTCATGCTCTCTTTGAATAACATACTACTATCTAGAGTCAAGATAATATTTTTGGATCAAAAAGTAGGAATATAATAATAAGGCATAGATCATGATGAATAATAATTGTTTTACCACTAATTAACTAAGGTATCACAAAATCTCCATCGACGTATAAAAATGACTCTCAGAAGATAGTACATCAAATTTTAGGATTTGTTTAAGACAGTTTTTTTATTATTTTATAATGCAATTTTTTATTATAAAAATTTTTAGGTTAAAAATTTTTGTACTAAAAAACTGCTTTATAAAACATTAAGAAAGTTGTCTGGAATAAAATTTGATGTGCTATGAATTTTTTAGTAAGCTAACAATTTAAAAATCATTTTGCAACCCAACTTGACTATCAACCAAGTAGTTTTCGGTAAGCTTTCATATTTGATGCGAGTAAATTTGTATATTAATTCACTATTCTAAAAAATTCTAATAAAAAAACATTAATGATCAAAATGAACCAAATAGTACCAAAGTAAAATAAAAAATCATAATAATGCATAAATATTCAAATTCCTAAACTGTTAAATTGAAAATTTTCCTTCAATTCAATTTGATTTTATTTTGTTTTCTTTTGTTAAATGATTTAATTTAAGCTTCATTTCGAACACTTTTTTAGGGCTTTATTTTTCAGAGAGAACCCATAATTTTTATTTGGCCATTATTTTTTCACTGCTTTAAAAAAAAAAATTATACTAAGAAGCTATTTTCTACAATTGCTTTCTTTATCATGTCTTTACAAAGCAATAAAAAAGTTATCCAAATAAAACCTTAATTTAATTAAAAAACAAACTCTGATCAAAGCCAAACCTGTCATGCAAAGTCCTATTAACTCATTAACTTACTTTTTTTTCGGCAGCCTTAAAATTTAAATAATGACTTTCTATTTATTTATTTTTTCCAAACAATTAAGTCAATTAAAAAAAATTCACACACAAAGAATATATACGCAAGACTCAAACCGAAAACCTCTTAACTAATAATTAAAACTCCCAACAAAAAGATCAAAGTGATCTGCATACTTTCTATTTAACTTCAACAGTTCGAAATCCACATTGCTTAGAGCATCTCCAACCGAACGACAAACGTGTTTATGATGTCATTCGGTCGCTACAGCCGAACGCCAAATTTTTCGCCATTTACTTGCGGGTGAACAGTGCAACGCCAATATTGGCGTTGCACTGTTCACCTATGCTATTTTGCTCTCTCAATTAGAAAAACACGCGAAAGGGAGAAGGATCGTTACCTTCACAGAATTACTTAAAATGCAGTTCGATTAGAGCAGCACCACGGCATTTTAGAGTTTTGTTGTATTTTGCCGTGAAAAATGAAATTCTCCGTTGAAGATGCCCTTAGCATCACTTTTTTACTAAATAATAAGGGAGTTTTATTTATTTGATTGAAAGAAATATTTAGGAGAAATTCGTAAATCATTGTCAAAATGTTCATATCTTGGTACAAACATTCCATTTGATGTCTTATATTCAATGGCTTTATTCAAAGCATCACTCTTTTTACTAGTAACGGGTAGAAAAAAAGTCCATACCTTTCAACTAAACACAAAAAACCACAATTTTCCACAGAATAACGAACATGATTGACCAAAAATGCCGAATCAATAGCAGCCTAAGCAGAATTCAAGATAACTTTACCAAAACACTAAATATTTCTTTTCTCTTAAGATTATGCACAGCTTTAAAAAAGCTGATGCCAGCCTTCATTGTGGAGAAATTATTTTGTGCTGATACCACACCATTCAGAGCCGAATCATAGTGCAACGTCATTGATACACAACCACGATACACACCAAAAAGGTGACATGACATGCTCTAATTCACCTCCGGACAACGTTCGGTATCCGCACAAAATAATTTTTCTTCATTGTGACACCTAATCTGCCATGAGTGAAAGTTTGGCAAAAACATTAAGGAAAAAAAACTTAACAAACTAATTAAGAATTCCCCACCAGAGCTTCAAATGAGAACCAAATTAAGCCATACAAGAGCTTAAGCTCATTTTCAAAAACTATATTTAGCTCATTTTGAGCATTTATAATATATATTAAACTTGATTTATTTAAAACTATGATAATTAGTATTTTGATTTGAGTTCAACTTATTAATTAACCAAATAAATATTATCAGGCCAATTAATGAACTGAACAACTCAGGCTAACAAAACAAAAACCGAAAAACTAGATGTCAAAATATGCAGGGAATAAAACCAGAAGAAATGTTATAGGGAAAAAAGAGAAGGCCATCTAATATATACATTATAAACAAATATTAAAAAGGATGCACAGCAAGGCTAAACAATAGCAGCGAATTAAGTGAAATTATTAGGTGCGGATACCGAATGTTGTCCAGAGTCCAATAAAAATGTGCCACATCACCCCTACTAGGTACGTAGCTCGGTACTGGATGACGTGACTGAACCTGATTGACCTCTAAACGATAAACAGTGTCTGATATCTGCACAGAATAATCTCTCGCGAATTATAGAATCTTCTTTTCCAGTACTTCTGAAAAAGAGTTGGGTAATTTCTTACTTGAGACCAATAGCAAATGAAAGCTTAGGCCGAGCTCTATTTTTGCCTAAAAGCTTCATTTGGTTTGTCTTCTCCTCTTCTTCTTCCATTTTCTTCCTCTGCATGGCTTCTTCCTTCTGTCTCTGGAGCCGTTCCAGTTCTTGATAACGCTCTAACTCTTTCTGTTGTTGTTCCAGAGCTTCCCTTCTCTGAGCTTCTTCTACCTTCCTTCGATTCTCCTCCAACATCTTATCCAACTCCTCTCTCTCTCTCCGTTCTTGCTCCTAAATCAAATAACAAAATACATTTTACAGGAAAAAGTAAAGAGTTCAAAACAATAATAAGAATCAATAAACCACAAGTTGATGAAAGAATAAGATTCATTTCACCTAAGAGTTAAATCATAAAACAATAAAATTATAGGGCTCATTATGCTTGTGGCTTCAAAGGCAACATAATTGATCTTAATTGTAGCATATCCAACCAATGAAAATATATAGAAAAAAGACAAGCATGCATTCCTGGCAGAACGTCCATATTGTAAATACTGCAACAAATTTATTAGGGGCACATTTGGTTGTTGTTGATGAAATCACATTTTAGAAAATCATGATTTTATTGTCATTCATTTTGATTCATTGTGAAAATGACAGCCTTGCCTTTGAGGGACTTAGGCTTCATTTGAGATGACTTTCCTACTGTTTCTTAAAGCGACTTTTTAGTAAAAAAATAATTTTTTCATGCTAAAAAACTGCTTTAAGAAGCAGTAAGACAGCCATCCCAAACGAAACCTTAGAGAGTGTTTGAAAAGTTGAAAATCAACTTATTTTTAATTACGCCCAAACAAATGGCTGAACTAAGAAAATCAATTGCTTTACAAAATTTACATTCTAATTTCAAGGAATCAAATGAGCCTAACTAGATTAGTTCAACAATCAACAGTAGCATAAACTAAAATTAAACTGATCAAGTTTCCAATTATAAATCTCAATATCCTAGCCAACTTGCCTCCAAACAGAGAACACAATTTGGCATTCCTTGCTCCTGTTTAAGAAAATCATTTGAGACATACATCTCAAAATGCCCCACGACTTGATGCCCACAACAAGCGCCTCAGAGTTTTACACCTCATTATTGCCAATGAATGTCTTCGGTCAACCACTCGGCTAAGCATTTGACTCCTTAGGGTTTAGGGTTGCAAGGTCGGTTGCCCAAGAGCTCTTTGTGTAAATGAAAAAATACAGCTAGAGCTCCGTATCGATCAGAAGTTTCGTGCAAGGTCATCTTTGAGCTAAGTGCAACAGACCAAAGCTAAGACCGAGTGGAGGAATGAGCGGAAAGTCTCTTATAAGTTTTTTTTTTTTCTTTTATAAAAATACAAAATGGTAAATTATTTCTTGAATTTATATTTTGTTTGATATTTTTATTTTCATTTATTTTTAGCTATTTTTATTTTATTTATACTGTTTTTCTATTTATTCTTATTAGGTATTGGATTTTGTTTTCATATATTTCTTAGAGAAATTGAATAACATAAATCTTTGTTTTGTATTGGAACAACCAATAAGTTATATAACAGTAGTATTAAGAATTATGTCAAGTTCATAGCTTTTCTATCTTTTTTATTGACCGTGGTCCGTGGGTGCTTCTTGCATCTGGTCAATGGTATTTGTGATTTTTCATGTGGAGTCTTTTAAATACAAATGATTTGTTTTCAAATTTAAAATGTCAGAATAATTGAGAAAACTTTAGAAGTTAAGAGGATAGCATTAGCATTACAAAGGTTGTATAAATGATATATGATTCTAGCCAATATGAATCATTAGTACTTAGTCTTGTGGACACTCACTGAAGAGGCTATTGGGATTTTATGGACGCATAAGCAGCTAAATTAATGGCAATATAGAGAACTAAAAGAAAATATTCAACTTAGAAGAATTATGGCACTCAAGTCTAAGCACCAGGTGAAGGTGCAAATGAGGGTTATGCTACCTTGAAATATAAATTTTGTGGCAACTTATAATGTGAATTTGTGACAAACGAATTATTGGGGGTACTAAGAGATTGAAAAATTACTTAGCTTGCATGCATCTGAATGTTGGAACATGTGAAAAAGTATTAGATGATGTCAAAAAATAATACAAAAACTATTAAAGAAATCATACCACCTCCAAAGACGTAGCTAAAAAACAAGGGTGGAACTGATTGGGAATAGCTTTTAGTGTGATTTCCAACAAGATTGTTTCAATAAAAAAAAGTTAATTTCTTTCTTCTAATTGAATAGCTCGGGGACAAATAGATAAATTCATTGTGAAATTAGACGAAGATGAGACTGATAACTCAAGTAATTCCTTCAACAACTATAAAAGAACACAAGCAGAAGTATGTTTAGATATCTTCCTAGAATATATGAGCTTCAAATGTTAGATGAGGAGACAAAAACAATGACAAAGATGTTCGACAAAGTAAATATGTGTGTTGAAACAGAAGTTACAATAATATCATATGGTTGGTCAGACGTCAAGAAAATGGGCATTACAAGGTTTACAGTTAACAACCCTTCCGGAATTGTATATTTGAACTAAGTTAATGCATAAGCATTTGTTAAAAATGCATGGATCTTAAAAAGCTTGATGATGTTGTTGAGAAAATAAGTGAGAGTATAATTGTTCAATTAGTTATATATAATGTGAGTGTCAATAAGGCTACATTGAGGATGTTAATAGAGAAAAGGAAGAATCTTCGTTGAACTATAAATGTTGCTTAATTGTTATGATTTGATGCTTGAGAAGGTGGAACTATTGGCAAGCAATGAATATGCTTTTCTCAAAAAAAAAAGTTGTTCGCGAGTTTATCTACAACCATTCTTGGGTGTTAAGATTGATTGAAAATTCACTGATAAAAAAATTAACAATCTAGCTATTATAAGATTCATCGTAGCGTGTTTAACTTTGTAAAGATTCAAAAAGTTACAACGGCATTTAGAGGTTGTGTTTGCTTCTGAAGCATGGGATACAAGTTTAGGGGGGAAAAAACAAAACAAAACAAGATAAAGCAAAAAAAATTGTAATGATAAATGACTTTTTTGATATATTGTTGATTATGCTCTTAAGACTACAACCTTTAGTGAAAGTATCAAAAAAGATTAACGGTGAAGAAGATTTCAGCCATGATCTTATCTATGAAGCTATGAATAATGTAAAAGGCAAAAATTTAGAAGGACAAGAGCTACTTATAAAGAGACATGGCACATTATAAATGAAAAATAAAATAGATAACTACATTAACATTTACATAATGTTGCATATTAGTTGAATCCTCAATTTTATTTTGATAAGGACTTCCATTACTTAGGCAAATGTTACATAATAAACCATTAATTAATGGTTTATTATAATTTTACATAATGTTGCATATTACTTCAATTCAATTACTTAAGTTTCACTGATAGAATCTAAAAATTATAATAAACCATTAATTAAAATTTTGTGCAAACAATGATCGTGCATTTTTACTTGTTCATTAAAGAAAATTTTAACTTTATATGCCTCATAATTTACGAAATTGGCTAAATATGCCTTTCTTCTTTGGGAAATATACCTGAAAATTCATTTTAAATCAAAATACACTCAGTTTATAAAATAGATTCCAATAGACCCTCAAGCAAATATTCACAAACTTTGGAGCAAGTAGCTACTCGACTATTCCTCTTCTCAGCGCCTTCCATTTCTTTGATAATCATCATTTGTCTGTGATCAATCTACAACAAAATTCGTTCAAAGATAAAGTTCTTGTCTCTATCTACGGTTTTAATTTTCACATTAGGTGTTTGGTTCTAATTTCACGAATAGGTAAATCCGATTTGTTTAGGAAATGTGAGCAACATTTTCATTTATAATTTTCTACCCAACTCTAGCGTAAAATGGAAGAAAATTTAAAGAATCATCATTGTGACTCGTGTCCCCTATTGTAAGAAACAAAAATATAATTTCTCATTAACCAAACAAGAAAGAAAAAAAAATATTTTTTCACTCAATGGCTCCTCAATCTCCAAAACTAAACAAGAAAGAAAAAAAAAAATATTTTTTCACTCAATGGCTCCTCAATCTCCAAAACTAAACAAGAAAGAAAAAAAAATATTTTTTTGCTCAATTTCTCCTCAACTGAGCAAGACTTTAATTTAATTCCTTTACCAATTCAGCTTTCATTTCTGTGCTTTCAATTCCATCAAACCAAACAGAGCCTCAATGAAAAAGAAACTAAAGGCTAATTAATGTTAAGGAAGCAGGTTGTGTTGTAATCATGATTGAAATCCCTGGTAATAGTTTCCCATAGAGATTAACAAAATAAACGTTTCAAACTATTACTACCCAGCAAAGAAGTCCTGATAGAAACAGCATATTGTGAAGAGTCAAATGATAAGATAATGTAAGTAGTTATAACTTTAAAGAATTGTAGAAAAGTACAAACCGCTTTTTTCCTAGCTTCAATAAGAGCTTGCTCCTTCTCTTTCTCAAGTTGGACTTCAACCTCCTCAAGTAGCTTCTTTCTACCTTCCGCAATCCGTTTCTGTATTTCCAGCCTCACCTCCTCAGAGTTCAAGGTTTCTTCAATCTTTTTTCTAATAGCTTCTTCAACTCTTCTAGCAGTCTCATCTTCTAATAGCTTCAATTCTGCTTCCTTTTGACGCCTGTTAACAAACAAAAGAAGCTTAAAAAGGAATGTGTCGCTTCAATGAACCATCAGAGAAATCAATAACCGAGCATATTATTTTCAAGACCTCAAAATTGGAAAAATTTAGCAAGCAGCGTCACATTCTTCAATATGTTGATCAACTAGAGCATTTCCTTCCAGTGCATACCAATACTATGTGCAAGCTTATGTTTTAAGACATATCTCAAAAAGACTCCAGGTCCAAACAAATGAGATATTGAGCTAATGAACAGTACATAAATGAAGCACCTTAGGGGTCATAAAAATAAATAAGTAGAACTACATCAGTAGCTTCATTAACCCTGTGGAAAAGATTGTTGAAGAAACTTGCACTGGGTTTAAAACTAATCATGTAATCAATTCCCATATCAATGATGGTTTTGATTAACAAAATTCCATGTCTACTTAAAAATTTACAACACACAAGCATGTTAACAAATTGCTTGTTTCTCACATTAATGTCTTATTTTAAAACCCTAGTAGCACGGCACATATCTAGGCTAAATAATGGAACTACGTTGAGACAAAAAGGTATGCACTGCTTCTAATATATGCATGGTATTTAAGGAAAGTTTTCAAATGTCTTCCTGCTACTTGAATGAACCACTGCAAACAACACTAACTGAACATAAATAATTCCAGATACTTAAGAAAGAAACTTATACGGATTTACTGGAATATCAATCTTAAAAGGACGCTGGACAAAAATGTATTTGAAACAAGACCACATACTAAATTCAGGGTGCAACAACATTTAACATCAGTCGTAACCACCACCAACGACCAACCAACACAAATAAATGAAAAAAAGAAGAAGAAGCAAATAATAATAATAATTACAAGAGGCAAGGATATATGTTGGATTACGATATATATACAACACCCTTCATGATCCCACGAGCCCTATGCCTCACTCCCAATTGTCGATCCCATGTACAGCCTGCTATCGTGTAATACAATCACACATCTGACACCCCACTATCAAGCCCGTTGTTGAATCCGGACAAACACATCACAACACACCCCACTATTAAATTTGCACAAACACCTGCAAATCATGATCATGCCACACATTCCGTTTTTGCTCACACTACCATCTTCATGCCCACATTCATATTCCACTGTCAATCACATTACAACCACTCCTGACAACCACAATCTCATCACTCTTGCTATCACCTGATCCCACAATTTTTGCTCGCCGCAAACTCAGATGCCTTTGCAAGGACACCCATCTTGATCCCAATAGCCTCGCGTTGTAATTGACACTGATTTAGTTGTACTTTCTTTAGTTTAGTTTCTTGTGTAGCTTTTTGTGTTCCCATTAATGTCTATATATAAATACTATAATTTGTACAAAAAGGATAAGCCATTTCCCACCCCGCTTTTGTTCAAATAAGTATCTAGTTTTCCAGTCACACTCTTCTATATCACTTTAAATCCCGGAATGCTTCCATTTCCATTCCAGCTGCAGCCATTCACCTACATTTTTCTTACCATAGCAACCAAGCAACCTCTGCTCTTGAGCGGATTATGCCAAAACTTGAGACTAAATCCTCTGCTAATCAGAATACTGGAGATAAAGGCTAATAAAAAAATGAACATGCAGCAAAAGCGAATAAGCAGAAGCAGGCAGTGGTGTAGAAGCGGAAGCATGAGGCGGAGCTGGAGCAAATGGTGGAGCAAGAGACCGGGCGGCCCACAATCATAGATATCAAGGTGATGAGCCCGGGTGACCCACAATCATGGATAATTGGATACCAAGGTGAAGCTCAACAAAGATGAAGTTGGAACTTGAGCGAAGTTAGAGTATGAGTGAAAATAAAATTAGGCCAATTCGGCTGCTTTTGAAATGCAAAGAAAATGGGGATTTTGAGATGTTCTAAATATCTAAAAATTTAAATTTACACTCATTTTACCTCAACACCAACCACCAACAGAAAATCCACTCCAATGTTTAAAATTGCGTATTCGGATATTGAGGCGTTTTTCATTCGTGAGGCGAGGCGTAAGCCTCAAAGCGTTTTGAGGCGTAAGCCTCAAAATCAAAAGATTCCGTAAATATAAAATGATAATTTTTTTATATACTAACGAGTGAATAATATAAATATAAAAAAATATAAGATATAAAGTGCAAAATATCTCAATAATAAGACAACATGAAATATAGGTCAACTCAAAATTCTATCTTTCCAAAATCCCAATATTTTTTTCATTAACATATAATTCCAATTTCCAAAAATAAATAGCAAAGACATATCACATAAGAACTCATAAGTCATCAGCACTGTAATCACTAAGGGGTTCTTCATTTAAATCATAGTTATGGTGAATTGCTCTCTCCCCTTCCTCCTCTCCTATAGAGTCCAATGTCGGGCATTTACTTCAAGATTTATGTAAGTTTTAATATAAATATAGCGTGAGGCGTAAGCCTCATGCCAGTGAGGCGAGGCGGGCTTCAAGGTGGGCCTCAACCAAGTTGAGGCGCAAGCCTTATAAAAAGAATTCGAGGCGTAAGCATCGAGGCATTTTTTACTGGAATTGCGCAAAGGCGGGCCTCAAGACGAGCCTCATATTGCGCAATTTTAAACCATGATCCACTCTTGTAATCCTTTTAGTTTACACCCATAATACTTCTAACAAGACAGCCCATTTGCATTGTTTTGTGCGTTACTAGAACGCACATTTCTCGTTGTTATTACCATGCAAACAAATAGGGCCAAACATCGAATTAAGTTGTTCAAAAATATTTTGGATAACACAGATTGATCACAAAGAGCAAGTCTTTGCAAAAATGAGTGAATAAATGATTCATAAGCTTGTCCAAAAAATTAGATATATTTCTTAATAATAATGATGATATTTTTTAAATGTATTAAGTATAAAACCTTTTACACTATTTTTAAAAAATTTCCAAACATTCACCTTTCGAAGTTCTAAAACTTACCCAATGGTTTGCCCCCAAATTTGTTGTGTTCACTGCATTTTCTATTGGTTTAATAAAAAATACACCACAATTTATATGCATTAATATGGCAACTACAATGTATATCTATTTTAGTCAAGCATCAAGCTTTACAAGAATTGCTGGTGACTCATCTATTTTTAACAAGTCGCATATTAACAAACAAAAGGTCAATCAGTCCCCATAGCATGGCTTTTGATAAACATAGAAAATCGAAGAGTAAAAACCAAACCAAAGACATGTATAAAGTATAAACTAAATAAACCAGGCCCGCAATCATGCAACGTTCATGAGAATATAATTTACACTAAATTGACTTGGTTTCAAAGAAACTAAATAAAGTTCATGTGTGCGTGTAATGTATAGATAGATATATCTATTGGGGGTGTGGTTGGTGAAATGAAGCGGAAAATTGGTAGTGGTGCATAACAGGGATGGGAACATGGTTGGCAGAATAAATAGGAGATACATTTAAAAGCAATCATTTGCATGTTGTTATATGTAAATGTGTCCTAAACTTAAGAGATATCTCCTTTTTACACAACTTGCCATGAAATATTTCCTTAAACTCCTTTCGTTCCGGTTCACATTATTGGAGTTTCTTCTACCATACCTTTTAGATGTAAAAACCATTAAAATCTCGTCAATATCTTGATTTCAATAGGCCTTACACCAACAGACTAAGATAAGAAAAACAAATGCATAACTAATCAAAATTTATTGATACAGGGCCCTTAGCCAACAGTATAAATCCTCTTAGACTCTACCATTTTACACATAGTATAAGATAATCAAGATTTTTAACATACTATAATGATGTTAGACCGAAACCAGCCCAAGGAGGGCTAGCTGAATCAACCCTAGGGCTGGTATACTCTAGACAGTCAAGCCGGTCGCTAGCCCCCTCGTGGGGCCCATTGCTTGAAGAGAAAGGGGAGAATTTAGGTATGATTGGATTAAAGAGGGGGCGGCTGATCTTGTGGGGCCCTTTGAAGAGGAAGGGTTGTTCTAGGCATGATTTGATTTAGGGAGGAGCTGTTTAGTAATTATGATCATATTTGTATATTTTAAATAGATGAGATTGTTTAGGGTTATCTTATCTGGATATTTGCTTTATTTTAGAGAGTTCCTAGGGGGTTTACTTGGGCTTTGGCCGCTGGCTAGAGATTAGGAGAGACAGATCCTCCTCTCCAATTGAGGATTCATTATATCTAGTTCGTTTTCTTTCATCTTTTATCAATAAAAATGTTTATTTATGATTATTTCTCCGAATTCTTCTCTAATATGTTTTTGCAAGAGCTGAAATTCAAATTCAGCAAGGGAAATTCTTGTGCCTACAAGCGTTTCCTATCAAATTAATTTCAGACCGGTGTCTAGGGCAGATTTGGGGTTGTTTGGACTGATTCCTGTAGCAGTTTTCCCCTTCGAACCACTATTTTTGCTATTTTAGGGGTGAAAATCAGGATTTTTGAGTCAAACAAAGATCTAAGGACCTATGGTAGGAAGAAAGGTGAAAGTATTGAAAGGAGAGATCGGACAAATGAAATCTGAAATTTTAGATCTCTAAACTCAAGTTTCAAATTTAAAAAATGAAATCTCAGTCGTACATGAGAAGATTTACTCAAAATTTTTCTTCATATAGGAGATGTTGAAGAAATTGCTCACGGGTCAAACTAAAACATCTTCATCAAAGGGGAGGAAAGCCGCCAACATTTATAAAAGTGAGGAAAATTCTAAGCCAATCAAACGAAGGGAAGATAAGGAGGTGGAGATTTTGGAGGGAGCAGAAAAAATGCCTCCCCTAGGGTCTATTCCTAGGGAGGAGTCGGGTAGAGGGTACGTGGACTGGCGTGAGAGGGTTGGGCATGAGTGGAGGGGTGTTGAATTTGAAAGGCAAGAGATTGATTATGATCGAAGATGTGCCGAATTTGAAAGGAGAGGGGTTGAATATGATCGAAGGGGTGCTGAATTTGAAAGGAGAATGTAGGGTTGTGATGAAAGGTTTGGGTGTAAGAAGAGAATGGATGATTGGCACAATTGAGGGGAACCACTTCCTTGGGGAATGAGAAACTATGGAGGAAGCAAGGGTGACGGAGGATATCTGAGGGTAAGTAAACTGAAGATGCTTATTTTTGAGGGAGAGGATGCACATGAGTAGATCTACAGTGTGGAGAGATACTTTACCGTCAATAGGTGGACAGAGAATGAAAGACTAACAGCAGCCAGGATGTGCTTGGAAGGGAAAGCATTGACATGGTACCAGAGGAGGGATACGAGGCGACCCATACGGACTTAGAGGGAGTTTAAGAACTATTTGTTGGAATGTTTTTGAACTAGTCGACAAGGAGACTTCTATAAGCAATTCTTCGCCCTGACGGAGGAGGGGACCGTGGTGGAATACTATGAGCAGTTTGAGCACCTAGTTAGTAGACTAGACCGATTCCCGAAGAATCTGCTGGAAGGGAACTTTATGAAAGGGCTCAAACCAGAAATTCGAGTGACAATTAGAGTGATGAGGCCTCATGATTTGGGAGAGACTATGAAGTTAGCTCAGTTGGTGGATGATCAGAGGCAACTAGAGAGAGGGACAGTAGGCAGCAGCTCCTGAGGCTCGTGCAGGAAGACCACCACCTTTTTGGCACCCAAGGATCTGATACCAGGTACTCTTCAGGAGTCACCAAAGGAGAAGAATGTAGGTGGAAGACCAAGAGACAACTTCAAGAAGCTCCCAGAAACGGAGTTACATGAGAAGAGGGCGAAGGGGCTTTGTTTCAGATGTGAGGAGAGGTATAAATCGGGTCACAGATGTAAGGATCAAACTCTTCAACTTCTCATCGTTTGTGATAATGAGAAAGTTGAGGAAGGAGCTGTATTTTCACCATGAGGACAAGGTGAGTCTTTGGGATGGGGGTATTGTTAATCGGAACTGGCCCAAGGAGGGACAACTAAGTTTACTCTAAACAGCCAAGCCAGCCACTGGTCCCCTTGTGGTACCCATTGCTTGAAGAGGAAGGGTTGTTTAGTTATTGAGATCGGACGGACCAAATATTGCTAGTTTTTGGGTAAAAAAATGGGTCGATTTGTGATTTTCGGATAAAAATGGGTCAATCTCGGGTTTAAAACGAGTCAATTTCGAGTTATTGGGTCAACCTGAACCGGACCAGGTTTTTTAAACTGGTCGATTTGATGAACTCGAACCCAACCCGTTTCAAGTCCAGGTTGACCCTAACCCATAATTTTCGAATCGGATTCGAGTCGGGTTTTCAGGTAGTGTCAAATATTGACACTCCTAGTTTGCTTAGACTCTAGCCGCCGGCTAGAGATTAAGATAGACGGATCATCCTCTCCAATTGAGGATCCATTGTATCTTTTTCGTTTTCTTTCATTTTTTATCAATTAAAAAGTTTATTTCTGATTATTTCTCCCAAATTATTTTCTAATCTGTTTTTGCAAGGGCTGAAATTCAAATTCAATAAGGGAAATTCTTGTGCCTACAAGCGTTTCCTATCCAATGACATTTTAAAAATGGGTTAATTGGTTAAAACATTAATTTGAAATAGATTTTTTGGCAATTCCCAAATACAAAGGACTTGTTATCCCAGAAGTCATCAAGTAAATGGTCCATCTTTCCAACTGTCAAGATATCCACATAATTCAAAGCTAGTACTAGTACTGAGCAATAATTTATGGATCTGTTATGCTCCTCAAATGGTTGGTCATTTGCCACAGTTGAATTGTTCTGTTGTTGGATGATTTTTAATGGTCATAAAAAAGAAAGAATGAATCCAATTTATACAGAATATACCAAAAACCACTTTCATCAGCTTTGTCTAAATATTATCATTATGGTTGACGATTTATAAAATTACAAAACTTCTAACAATAGGAAGGGACCACACGTAATAAGAAGTGAACCTGGCTTTGGATACTTAAAAACCTACATTATTAACAAGACTATGATGTGTGTGGCAAAAGGAAAGCACTTCATGCCATTGCCCAACTTGGCAGGAGAAATATTTTTTTTATAAAATGCATAAGGCCCTCATTGGAAAAAAAAAATTATAGTTTAAGTGGAAAATAAGATACCTTCTCTTTTCTTCATCTTCTTTTCTTAGTTTCTCAAAGGAACTATTGTGATCTACTGACCGCACAACTGGACTCTGAGACTTGCTAGAAGGAGACCGTGTGGTGGTCCTACTTCTTTGTCTTTTGTGTCTCCTAGGAGATGGTGAACGGCTTTTTCTCCGCCAAGGAGTTGGAGAACGGCTTTTGTGCCACCTGGAGGATGGAGATGGAGTTCTTCGCCTATTTAAAACAAATTAAACAAGTGAATAATAAAAGAACTCATGTAAAATATACATAAATGATATAACTTAGTAGCCTTTACCAATAACATCTTGATATCATTTGTATAGTTGCATCAAAATTGTTAAGACTAACTTTGCATGCATAACCATTAAATAAAGAAATCCTCGAAAGTCCAACTAAGAAAATTAAATGATAAAGAAACCCCCGAAAGTTCAACTAAGAAAATTAAATGAAATCTTTACGAAAATTAAAAGAACTCTGCAGAACTTGATGAACACATCATTAACCTTGCAATTATATGAATTATGAATGGCGAATAAATGGAAAGTTATAGCATAAAATCAAAATATAAAAGTCCTGCATACATTGAGATAGCAAATTAAAAAGAAAGTGGGTCATTAGTATAAAGAACTCGGTGAATTCATCAATAGTAAGTCTTCTATCAAATCTCAGTGCAAAATTACCATAATAAAGAAAATACAAGGGAAGCTCTCATTGGTGAACGTTGCATTAATTAGGTACAAAAGATAATTATGTAGACACAAGAACTCTAATAAAACCAAAACATGGCAGGTTCATAAGAAGAGGAAATAACAAATGTACAATTCTACACAAGAGGAGATAGACATTGGCAAAAGGCTAGGCTTACTAGAAGTAGCATTGATGCTTATCCTTTGGCAGAAGTTCTTGTTCATCGACGGAACTTTATAAACTTTCAGGTAACGGGAAAATCTCACCAGCAGTAGTATCAACAACAAACAAGTCATGTTCAGAATCAGTAATCCACCAGCATTTCTATTCTCAATCAAATTTGAAGAATGCAAGGCAAATTAGCGAATTAACATTTCTTTGTAATCTTTAAAATTTGTATCCTTATCAAACCTGCTGATATAAGAGAAAGAAAAACAATAAAACATACAAATTCCACTGTCACCACTATTCTGAAATCACATCAAGGTCATAGACAAATTGCTATCATAATAGATTACTTAACGACATTTCTTTATCCTTTAACAGCCAGATTAACATTAACATTGTAATGGAAGTAAATGCTTCCATAAGCAGAAGTTGCACAACACAAAAGTTAAAAAAAAAAGGTCAGGCTAATATATTTTCTCCCTAGATATAAGCCTTCTTCCACATCACGGATCAACAACATCCTTAATGCTGGACAAAGTCAAAGGTTTAGGTGGCTTTTCTACCAAAAAAACCAGACCATTTGTATGGAAAGTAGAATGCCTAGTTTGGATAACCTATCACTAATGCAATGCCTTCGTCAAAAGAAGGGGTAGATCCTCATTGCAGATAGCTCTAGGCTCCGAGAGTAATACTTCATGAAAAAGACCAACATGATATGTTCTATTGTGCACCCAAAAACTGCTATTCTTAGACCTCCAAAACTAGCTTATATATGTTATTTAGGAACTTAGATTCTTTTCTTTTGCTATGATTGAACAAATTGCACAGTAACCTGACATTGAAATATGTTTAGCAACGTAGAATTCCTAGCCTGGTAGTGGAATAAAATTGTGATTAATATCCGTTATTCACAAAACTACAAAATGACCAAAAACAGCTATATCATGAAACCACTGTCTATATTAAATTGCGCCTACTTTTACCAGATTCCATGATCGATGGTGATTGAGCAATCAATCAACAAATGTAAAACAAACTGGGCTTCCAACTACCACCCAAATTACAGTTCTTGATCAATACCTCCCACAATTTGTATGAAATAATCGCTCTCATGGATGTGATCAGCTTATCTCCCACGAATGTTATGCACAAGCTATAACGAAGTAATTGTCTACCATGACGAGTTAAGTGTAAAAACCAAGACAACAGAAACGATATCAGGACCAATCTAAGGATTTGGAGTTAACAAGCTCATCCACCTATGTGAATAAGGAGATCTGCTCCGATCACGTCTTCTTCTCCAGCTGCTGCTGTACCTATGACTGACCGGGGAGGGAGAGCGCCTCCGCCAGCTTGATGGCGATCTAGAAGCCGTACGGACCATCGCCTGAGGTCGCGCCTAACACTCCGATCGAAGCCCTAATAAAAACGGCAAATTGGCAACAAATTCAATTGCGCCAAAAGAAAGATATGGCAGGAGTTGTCACCGTACAAATAAATGAATCCAATTATCCAAGAGAAATATTCTCGGCGGGTGAGAGCGACGCGAATCCAACAATGGCGTATAAAGGGAGCCTTGAAAATTGCACCAGTGAAATCAAAGCAAGTCCCGTAAACAAAGAAGTAAAGAAAAAGGAAAAAGAGGCGGTTTTGATTTCGCAGCACGAACTAAAAATGAGTCTCAGCGGAGTGAAGAACAACGGGGCACAGAGGGTGAAAAGCGAGGCCTTCTCCTACTCCTGACTGCGGTGTTTTTAATAAAAATAACTAAAAAAAAATGGGTGCAAGGGATACTATCCTACTATTAGGGCTGTCAATTTGGGTCAATCCGTCGGGTTCGGGTCGAACCGACCCGACCCAAATTTAAACGGGTCAATCCTAACCTAACCCATTTTTGCAAACGGGTTAGACCTTCCAACCCGGACCCGACCCGAGCGGGTTACGGGTTGACCCGTCACGACCCGCTGACCCGAACAATTCCTATTTTTCTTGCCTTCCATAGGTTGCCGGGTTAACCCGACCCGGCAACTCGATAATTGTTTTTATATGTTTTTTTTTTTTTTTTGCTGTTAAAGGAAAAAATGCATACATAATTTAACTAAAAGTCTTAAATACATACATTGTAATTGTTACAATAAAATACAAGATTACAAGTTACTGATTGACAAATTAACTAAAAGTCTAAAAGTGTCAATTTACTAAAATACAAGATTACAAGTTACAATAAAATACAATATTATAAAAATAGAAATACAATTAACAAATTAACTAAAAGTCTAAAAGTGTCAAAGTCTCAATCTGGTGCCTGGTGAGTGGCGAGCTCCTTTTTGTCTTTCACCCTTTACCTTTACATAATTTAACCTGCAAGGCTGCAAAAGAATAAACAAATAAAAGCAACAATTTGTTAACTACTAGCACCCTAGAAGGCTAGCAACGAAAGGCGAAAGCCGTAGGGTCGTAGGCTCAGGATGAACCTAGCAAAGAAACATCATCTGCAACAAGAACAGAAAATATGCCATCCAAAGTTACAAATTGGTAATGTCATTCAACACTTCGGTTGCATCTATTCAATTAAATAGTATCTGCTCAAACCAAACCAATTTATTACTCGGTTGCATCTAACTGCGTGTCGCAACTGATGCACAACTTCACCAAGTTCTTCATCATCGCCTTATAATTTATAAACATCAGCCATTCAACACTTCAGCAGCTGCAAGCTGCAGCTCATATTCCAATTTCCAAGCAAAAATTCCACACTCAGCTGCTAGCTGCAAGCTGCACTTCAGCAGCTGCAAGCTGCAGCTCATAGCCCAATAACAGCAACAATATGTTTATGCTCCAACAGTCCAAGGTTAACAATTAAATTCCAACTGTCCATAGCCCAAAACATTCAATTGCAGATGATGTTTCTTTGCCCAAAACATTCAAACTGCGACCAATAACAGCAAAACAAATTACTATACAAGGTTAACAATTAAATTACAACTGTCCTACACAGCAACACTCCAACAGTCCAACTCCAACATCGGCAACACCAATACACCATTATACGTTTATACCAAGTTAACAACAACAGTTATACCGGCACCAATTATAGTTATACCATCAGTTATACCGGCTATTAGAAAATAGAAAATTAATATAAAGCAGAGAAGAAGAAATTAATCAAAACAATGACAGAATACAGATAAAGCCACCAATGGTTTGGGGGTCAGCAGCACTGCAGCAGTAAGCTTAACATAAATAACATAAAGCACTAAACAGTGAAGATTAAAAACCAGATTGTCTCAGACGCTCACTTCTCAACATAGAACATAAAGCAGTGAACATAAAGCAATGAAGGTTAAGACTTAAGATGCTAAATTCACTGAATCTCCGTTGAAATTAAAATCCATTATATCATCTATCACCGCATCAAGCTCTGGATCTTTTGTATCTACTACAAAAGCAGCAATATGAATTTATTACCATTTATAGTTCTAGTTATACAATTATACACTAAATTCAATAAAGTAATAATTGTTACCTTGACCATCAAACAACCAATCTTTTGTGCCTACCAACGCTTCCACAATATCATGTTTCAATACACTACGATATTGGTCGAGAACTCGACCACTATTGCTAAAAGTACTTTCAGATTCAAGTAAATAAATATTGATAATATCAAATATTGGTCGAGAACTCGACCACTATTACAACAACATGCATCAACAACTCATAACACTTGATCCTTATGATTATATAGTATGATAATATCAAATAAGCAAATAAATATTGCAAAATTTCATCATATTCTCCATATTGCAATATTCCATAATAACATAAGCAATTAAGCATCAACTTATTCAACAATAGTACAATACATGAATAAAGTTATACGGCATTACAGGCTTACAGCAACAGCAACCCGACAACTCCAAGAGGCCCAAGCGACCAAGCTGTAATCTCAACAGCAAGAAGAAAAGTGGAAAACTGTAATAGTAAATCAGTAAACTACACTCTAACTAACATTATAACATAAGGAAGAAGAACTTATAAGAATAAAATGTGCAGCATACTCAAGAAAAGTCGGCCATGGCAGTTATACTCATAACTCATACGGAATAACAAGAACTTATAAGAATAAAATGTGCAGCATACTCCATAAAACCCATCAGGCCATCACAGTTTCGCACGACTGATGAATAACACCGACCAAATTAGGGCAAAATGAAAGAACAAATCCTCCATAAAAAATAAAGAAATCTAAAATAGAAATTGAAACAACCGACCACCATCAAACCAACACTTCAAATAATTAAGAGTTATTCAAGATTTTACCAACCATTTGCAATTGAGATATAGAGAAAGGAAGAGGATTCAAGGAAGAATTCCGAAGACAGATGTTTCATAAGATCAGAAGAAGATATCAAGAAGTGAAGAAACCTCCATCAGCTCCTCCACGATTCCACGCCTCCATGCCGTCCACCGCTCCACCCCAATGCCAGAGTGTGAGAGCGAGGAGAAAGTGAGAAATGAAACCCTAGATAGAACCCTCTCGACTCTCGAAGTCTCGAACAGTCTCGGCCGCGCATTTAACATTTTATTAAAACGAGTGCTTCGCGGGTTATTCGGGTCGACCCGCGGGTTGACGGGTTGACCCGAACTCGACACAAATATATAAACGGGTCAAATCCTTAAACCCGGACCCGACCCGTTTCTTTCACGGGTTGACCCGAACCCAGATTTTCCGGGTCGGATTAGCGGGTCGTGCAGGAATTGACAACCCTACCTACTATCGTTCACATGCTCCATCAATATAACAAAGGGGTAAAATTTTAAAGTAAATATGATTAAAATTTTTTAGGAGCTTAGCTAGTTGATACTATAACAAGTTGCCCATTAAGCAGGCACTTACACAATAAAGCATGTTTTTAATTAAATTGTTTCATAATTTTTTATTTTTAAATTTCTCTTTAATATGGAGTGAAGATGATGTGTTATAGTAACACAAGTCTGCGCATTCTATCAGTCGTCCAACTTCCCACGCCCAAATAAAATGGTTGTGAAAATTGAACCAGACAACGAACCGGAAGAAGCAGAGGTTCACAGTTTGATAGGTCGAATTGGGGTTGAATCGGATGACATAATTAATAATAATATTATTAAATTAATAAAAATAATATAATAATGATGACAAAGTAACCTTTAAAGCTTGATAATT